AGAGGCAGAAATCCCTCTGGATCTCTGTGAGTTCAAGGCCACATTGGAAACAGCCAGGCATGGTGACACACGCCTTTAATCCCAAGAAGTGGCCTTTAATCCCAGGGAGCGATGGCAGATAGCAGAAAGATATATAAGGCGTGAAGACCAGGAACTAGAAGCATTTGGCTGGTTAAGCTTTTAGGCTTTCGAGCAGCAGTTCAGCTCAGATTCATTCTGGATGAGGACTCAGAGGCTTCCAGTCTGAGGAAACAAGATCAGCTGAGGAACTGGCAAGATGAGGTAGCTGTGGCTTGTTCTGCTCCTCTGATCTTCCAGCATTCACCCCAATAACTGGCCTCAGGTTTGATTTTATTAATAAGACCTTCTAAGATTCCTGCTACAGTCAAGTATGTTATCACCCAAATAAGAAGCTAACTTGTGCATCATGGATGTTCATTCACCTCAAATTAAACCTGTGCTTCCTAATTAACACCTTAGTAATGCTCCCCTACCAGACACTTTTCTCGCTCTTCGTTAGCTTGCTGTCTTTCTGTTCAGGTGAAGTTTGCAAGCATTCCTGTTCAGAAAACACTGCCGGAAGTCCTCGAATTAGCCTGGTGTTTCCTAGTCTTTTGTTTCTTTTCAGCTATGGTAAGAACTTTCAAGTGTCAACAGAACATTTTCAATAAGCTTGGGAGAAAAAAAAAACAGATGCTTCAATATACTGACACTGCAACTCACTCTTCCAAGTATCAGCTGTGCAAGACAAGTGTAATAAAACTCTGAGTGAAGCTAATGATGCTCACATTGTCTAACACTAGTGAATATTTAAAATCAGCGTTAACAGGCCCCAGTGCTGAACTAATAACTCAACGCCGAGAGAAATAATCATGGAGAAGTGGCAGAAGTGCAATTATTTGCTAATATAATAAGCAGTATGCGTTTAGTGAGAGGCAACTACGGAATACCTGAGGTTTGTAAATCACCAAGAAAACAACCTATGTAAGTATAAAGCAACTGCCCTGGCAGAGGCAGGTGGATCTCTGAGAGTTCAAGGCCAGCAGGATCTACACAGAAGTTCCAGACAGGCATACATAGAGAAGCAAACAGCAGAAGCAAAACTGCTTCTTCAGTCCAGCGAAACTTTATAAATATGATAACTAGACATGAGATCTCAGTTGAATATAATAATTCCATTTACTAAGCAGTCTAGATTGAACTACCACCCCTAGTAAGAGAGATACTGATCTTTGCAGTCAGAATTTCTGAGTAATTAGAATTTTTCACTCTTACATGGATTTTGGTACTTGATAACTAGCCTGAATGCCATCCATTAGTATCTCACAGTTTTGTAATCCCAGGCTTTCGGAGACTGAGATAGGAGGACCAAGAGTTAGAACCAGCCTGGGTCTCCAAAGAGGCCATATCTCAAAGTAAAAGAAACAAGAACTCTCTCCAGCTAGGCTTTGTCTTTTATAAGTGTCCCAACAGACCAAATAAAGGATGAACTGTGTCGGGCAGACAACAGAGAATATTTGCAAACTCTCTGTGGGCAGCTCTGATGGTTTCAGGCACCACATTCTCCAGAGCGATTTGTTGTCTTGTTCCTCCTTACTAAAAAGGAAGGAAAGACACTAGACATCAGCCAATAAGGAAGTAGATTTCTTTACAGTTTGTGTTGTTCAAGAGGGAAAGGAAGTATGGGATGTAATAAAACTCTTAATAAAGTCATGACCTTGTCTGGAGGAGGAACTATGCAGTTTTACAGGATCCAGTGACATCTGCAGTTAATTTAAAAGATGCTGTAATGAGAAAGTGTGTGTGTGTGTGTGTGTGTGTGCACTGTGTATGTATGTGAATGTGTGCAAGTGTGTGTGTGTGTGTGTGTGTATAGAATGTATGTTTGTTTTGTGTGGATGTGTGTACATGTGTGTGTGAATGCATGTGGAGGGCAGAAGTCATCACCATTGTCCAGCTTGTATGTGGGGGCAGGGAATTCAGATGCAGGTTCTCACGCTTGTGTGGCAGACCCTTTGCAGACACGTTGCTGAACCATCTCCCTAGTCCTGGAGAAGGTTTTCTTCTGTAAGAGTGGCCCATGGTGGCACAAAGCGAGTCTCAGCATGTTGCAATAGTCTGTCTTTTTATGTCCTTTTCCATAACCATATGAAGATCTACTGAAATCCACCCTCTATGTGTAAGCTATCAGGACAGTGGAATTCACAATAAATCAGCAATTTGTATTTAGTCAGGAGCTATATGCTATGTCCATGTACTTAAAACCGAATTACTAAAAATGAATTATGAGTTCCAATTCTGCTCTGTCTCGTTCGGCGCCTCAGTTAGGCCATATTTAACATACTTTCTGTCTGCATCAGCAAATCAAATTCTGGAAGTGAAAAATTAATAGAATTGTGATTATCATGTCACTTAATAGTCTCAAAAATCAAAATATCTCATTTACCTAACAAGGAGAAATACCATTGAATTATCAAAAGAGATGAATTTAGTCTGGTACAAGTGATCTGACAGGAGGAAATGGGGAAGAAATGTGGATTTTTTTTTTAATTAGGGAGGGGCGAGGAATACAAATGTAGAAGAATGAGAGGGGAGAGTAAAATAATAGTAAGAATGTCTGGAAATGTCATAAAGAATCATAGTATTAATGAGCGCCGAGCCACAAGGCAAGTCCTGTCCCCGATGCCACACCTCATGGTGTAAGCAAGGATTGACGGGCCAGGCACAGGTCCCAGTGAATCACATCTCTCTGTGTGTCTGTGTCTCTGTGTCTCTGTCTCTCTCCCTTTCTCCTTCCCTTCTCTCTCTCTCTCTCTCTCTCTCTCTCTCTCTCTCTCTCTCTCTCTATCTCTCTCTCCAGTTTCCACATACACACCCTTTCTTCCTATCCAGGTCTGGAGGGTATTTTCATGGGCTCAGCTTTCCCTACCTCACATGACAGTCGTTATTTCTATTCTGGAGGTTCAGTGTGCTCCTATCTGTCTGGGAAGTTTAAGTTAAAACTGACTGGCTTAGAGAGCATTTAGACCTGGTGACATTAGAAGAGCACTACATTTCAGGACATTAGACCATCTCTCTCCCTCGTTGTGGTTTCACACTGATTAACACTCAGCCTCCCACTTTGTCTAAGTTTTATCTTCATTGCCCAAGTCGAGTTCCAAGGAAGGACCCGCCACACCCCTGCAGTTCAGACTCCACTTCATGATGAGGGAAAGCAAGGCATGTTTATAAAAAATATAAATAATTAAAGGCTTAGGAAAACAATTTAAATGAGAGCTTTAAAAATACTTGTTAAAATTTCAAAAACTAGTGTGCTAGTGTTGAACCTCCAGTTGGTTCTAGTAGGGAAAAAGTATCCTGCATAGACTTGGGAAGGCATCAAATATGCCTTCTGGAGAGAAACAAGGGAGGCATCAGCTAGTAGCTGTCCCTGTGGGAGCAATGATTTGTTATGCATCCCTGACACCTTGGGTACAACGGGGGAACAGAGGACTGACATGCATAGAACAAACGTAAGCATGGAATTTTTTTAATTTAAAATTTTATTTTCTTGTTATTTGTAAAAGTACATGAATAAATAAATGTCTCTACTTCAAGACATGAGAAATCATGACAAAATAGTTGCTAGCCAAGGCACTGTGCCTTACAAAGAAGACATAAAATGTCCAAGAGATATTCACATTACAGTTATTAAAAAGTCAACATCAGAAATGCTGCCCACATGGTGTAAAAACACTGGAAAATAAATAACAGCTATTCTATTCTTCTCAATACTTACAAAATTGATGTGTACATGCACAATCCTACCTTGAAAGTGATCTGACTACATGTCTATGTACCCCCATTTGTCCCCAGCCCATCACAGGAGAGGCATGATGTAGCTGGTGCCTAACTCACTCCCTCAGACAGTAATGAGTGAAAAGATTTAAAAATCCATCACCTTCCAACTACGTAAGTAAAACAACTTTGACTCAGCACACTAAAATGACCTTTTAAAATATCACAGTGAATTGCCAAACACATTGATATCTTTAAATATCACAACAAACATAACATTATCTGAGAATTGAAAAATAAATAAATAAATACATATATAAATAAATAATTAAACAGGAAGACACGTCAGGAACAATCCAGGCTTCCTGGTTGCTGTTTGTTTTCTTTCTTCTCTTCGATTCTTCTCCTTCGGGTACAGCAGCCCACACTCTGATTCTCCCCAGGTCAGTTAGCCTTGCCTCTGTGATGAGAAAATGCGCACTGTTAGTAGGTATTCGAAAGACTGGCTGCAGAGGTCTCTTCTTTCACCTTCTTCATCATCCGGACCTTGTCTGATTCTCCCAATGCAGTCACCTCTAACCTCCCCCCAAGGAATTGGTACCTAAGCCTGTCTAGCAATAAACATTCTGGATGCTTTGAAATTACAGTAGGAGAGTTGGGCTTCCGATTGTACTAGCTTCACACAGTCCGAATGATATGAAGAATAAAACTATGAAGACACGGCTTCCCATGTAAACATGACCAGCACCTATTACTGTTTCGTTTAACTCAGACAGGATAAGAGGGAGGAGAGTCTATACTTGAACTTCAAAAATGGTCTCACTGCAAAACCTCTGTTCTTCATCAAGAAGCCTCAAAGGAACAAGTGACCCAAACCAGGAGTTACACTTTACAGCTCAAAGACATGGAAAGGTCAGGGATAAGTACTGTATCTTAGTAGACAAGAGGCTTGGCAATGCCACTAGTCAATTCTACTTAATTCTTAGGGGTCCACACAAGGACCATCCATTAGAGTAGGGCTTTTGAGTGTGTAGATGGTAGAAGCAGGTTGTATCTTTCTGACACCAGAGCAAACTGATGATTATGAGGCAAAGTTAACTATAAAAATAATAATCCAGGTGTCTGGTCTGTAGTTAACCTTGATTTTCCCCTGATAAATTTTCAGGAATCAGACCCCAGTACTCCGACCAGGACTCCAGTCAAGTGGAAGTACAACTCAGAACTCACTTGTTCAGTATCTTTTGGATGATCTTCCGAACCAAGGGGGCTTCAGGGTCGAGGCAAACTTCCTGACCATCCTTGAGAGTGGCTCTGTAGAGAGAAAGGAGGACCCTCATCAGGCCTGAGGTTCCGCTGAATGAGCATGGGGTTGTAAGAGGGTCTGGGCGACTCTGGCGGTGGCAGAGGTTGCCGGGGGAGACACTCACATAACTTCGGTCTGGGTGCAGTGGGGTCCTGGGGGCGTCACCTTCAAGCTCTGAATGGTCTTGAAATCGATCCTTTGTATGGTCCTCAGGCACTGACAGCGCAGCTCAGTGGCCAAAACTGCCCCTGTTGGAAAAGACACTGGGTCAGCGGGGCTGTGAGCGGCTGCGCCCACCTGAGGCTCCTCCAGGGATGGCAGCCGCGGGTCCCACCTGTAGCCTGGCGGCTGGTGGCCAGCAGCAGCATCATCAGCAGAGCCGCACAGAGGAGTGGACGGGTGGCTGGGGCCATGGCGCTGAGAAAGGAGTGTGGTTGGAGTCTGGAGTGCAGGAGCTGGCTGGAGACTCAGTGGTGCGATCTGAGGTTCTGGAGCCCCGCGAGCCCTTTTTATGCACGGTGGCTGGAAAAGCCCGAACCGATCCCGGGGCTGGGGAAATTCCCCGAGCTTAGGGTCTCTGCATCAGGAAGAAGGACAGCGCCCCGCCCCTCAGCTGAGTGGGTTGAGGACACCCGCAAGCGCGTGCTGCCTGCCTCATCCTAATGCCCTTCCCTGAGGGACCCTGGGATGTCCCTCCCCAAACCCTCAAGAGGAAGGAAGTGACCTCTGCGCTGCAGTGACCACCTGATAGATAGTGGTCACCCAGTGACTTCTCACAGGGATGATGTCATCAGTCCCTGGAGACATAATAGCTGTGGGGAACTTTAGTCATTAGGACTGGAGGAATTAAAGGGGGGGGGGGGGGCGCGGTTCTCTGTTCGTTGCATATTCATCGATAGTTCTAGAACAAATGAAGATTTTTTTATCTACATCTGCATAAGTACACTCTTGAAATATATAGTCATCTCAAGCTACACAGAAGAGTAGTTTGTTTCTGATGTGTAGCAAGCCCGAATAAATCACATTTGTGTCATATCCTTCCACGGGGGTTGGGGAAAAAGATGTGTCAAAAGCTTAACTCATGCTTAACCGAGGACACAGTGTTGTAATCTCCCAGACACTTCCCCTGTGAAATGCTGGAACTTCCGAGGCTTGAGTGTGCCCACGAGCACCACACTCGGGTGTAAGAGATCTCCATGAGTTCAGGAAATTAAAGACCCGGTGGTCTCCTGGAGCAGCTTGGGGAGGCAGTCCTGTGAGGACTCTCAAGTACACAGTGAAGTCTCCAAAGTCAGTGCTGACATAAAAACGGAGTAGAGTCTTTCACGTGTACATGTAGCAAAAACATGCATCTGTGAAATACCTAAGTGCTAGGTTACAATCTCATTCCTCGTGTGTGTGTGTGTGTGTGTGTGTGTGTGTGTGTGTGTGTGTGTGTGTTATTGACACAAATCCCTCTTTTTCTTCCCCCATGGCTTCTTTTTAAAATTATTTTATGTTCATTGGTGTTTGACCTGTATGTATGTCTGTGGGGGGGGGGGGGTGTCAGAAGCCCCGGAACTGGAGTTGCAGACAGGTGTGAACTGCCATGTGAGTGTTGAGGATGGAACCCAGATCCTCCAGAAGAACAGCCAGTGTTCTTAACCAGAAACCATCTTGGCAAACCCCATTTCATTTCTACTTTCTAGGGTTTTCTTGACCCAGGGATTTGATTTCCCTAGCAAGGAAATCATTTTTTGCTTTCACTGACTGTGATAAGCTATTGTAAATGCTCACCTCTGGCCTTTGTCATTCACTAGCTCATTTCCTCACGCTGGGTTTTAATTCTTGGTCAGATAACGTGCAGTTTTAAATGGTTTGGGTGTGGGTCTGGGTACAGCTCTCTGAGGGCTGTGCAGATATCTTGCAGAGAGGTGTGGAGAGGGCAACCAGAGGCAGGTTGATGCTCAGAGCTGCCAGGTAGAAAGTTGTGGGCCACTAGTGACAAGGACATGGAATTCCATCTGCTGCTGCTGCTTTAGTTTCTTGTCTCCAAAATGCACATGATAGTGGTAACTACCTCAAAATGTTAAGATGAATAAATGTAACGTTTGTATGAAACAGCAGTGTATATTAAATGCTAACATTGTAAATAAATAAAAAATGCCTTTGCCTCCATATTGCTAGTAACAAGACTCACCTAGGATTAAAATCCTTATACACAAAGAAAAAAGAATTCTTTAAAAACAAAAACAATTTTTTGTTATTTTTTTCTTCTTAGGAAATCATTTAGGGCAGGGAGTGATGATACCCACTTTTAATCCCAGCACTTAGGAGACAGAGGCAGGCAGGGCTATGTGAGCTCCAGAACACCCAGATCTGTATAATGAGACTCTGTCTCAAGAAAAAAGAATTTGGGGGTTGGGAAAAAAAAAAAGAAAAAAGAATTTAGGATGAGTCTCTTACCTAACTTAAATAGTTTTAGTAGTTAAAACTACAAACTGTAAATAAAAGTCATCTCAATTATTAGAAAACATTATAAATAATTAGATGTTTCCTGAGATAAGTGATTTATAAGATCCAGAAGTTTGTTTTAATGTTTATATATCATGGCTTAACTTCAACTCTCCTATTGTTTAAAACTGATGGATTGGTGTAGAATCTCTGAGGTATTTGTTGTTGTTGATGTTGTTGTTTACTCACAGTAAGACATGTGATGTATTTAATTTAACAAACTATGTATGCTTTCTCCCCCCCCTTCCCCAATCAATATATCTCCTCTTCAAAATGAAAGCCAGTGGAAATTGGAGTTTTCTAGAAGGCATTTTAGTTCCAGGAATTGTATTTGGTTTTTATTTTCTTAGATAAAGCTCACAGACTCTGTCGACCTAATTTGAGCACTTTTTCAGGTTTTAATAGCTGCAATATTTGTCTTCAGTATTAGCAGGATGCTGTTCAGTCTGTTCGTCTCCGTACGGTGACGTTAGAAAACAGAAAATATCTGCTGTAAGGATTCCAGATGTAATCTGATACGTTGCATAAGCAAACACTCCGAGAGGATAAAGCACAAGGCTCCTACGGTAGTTGTCAAAGCGCAAAAATGTTTCAAGAAGCAGTCGCTCAATATATGCCGGCAGCTGTGTGGTAAAGCAACAGTTGCTTACAAAATGAGATACTAACGGTGTTCCTTTTTACACGATGTCAGTCTTCATAGTCAGTCCCTAGCCTTTGGCTTGCTGTTTTTTTTTTTTTAACTTTAAAGAAAAATGGCATTCTACCAAAATAAAGCAATTCTTTTTGAAGTGTTAAGCATCATCTCCAGGCAGTTACACTTGGTATGAGTAGAGTGACAAATTCTATGCCCGGACTTTAAAGTCACACTAGCACCAGTTTGAAGGGAATGGAATCATCACTACACATTAGTTTATTATCCTTTCACTACTTACCACACTTACTATGTCTTTCCATTTTAATGAGGACCCCATGATAGAGCTTTTAAATTCAGAGCTGTGTTCATCCTGAGCACGGATGCGGCTGCAGGAATGGTCTAGTGGGCAGTGCTGCTCTTCCTGCTTACCACCAGGAATCAAGATGTCTCAACTGCCAACACTCTTTTATTGCAATTAGTGCTTCCAGTACAATGAAAGAATCTGGCTGAGGACAGAATGATGATATCTTTATGCTGCATTAAATTCCTGGACCCAGGGATGGAGAGACGGCTCAAGAGTTAAGAGCCCTTGCTGCTTTTGCAGAGGAGCCAGCTTTGGTACCCAGTACCCACATGGCAGCTGACTCTGTAGCACTAGTTCTAGGGAGTTCAGTGCCCTAGATCTGGCCTCTGTGGGTACCACACATGCATGTGATACCCATATATACATTTAGGCAAACACTCATACACGTAAAGTAAAAAGGAATAACTAAGACATTCCTAGACCTCTCAATGTATTCAATCCACAGTATTCAATGAGTACATCTCTGATGTATTTGTTCTTTATGCCTGACTTAAGCTTCTCCTGTTTACCTGTGATGACAGAGCCCCAACTTTCTTTTGGAAACCAGGACTCTGTCTTGAAGTCCTTGCTATCTCTCTTTCTTCCCAGGATTGGTTCAAGACAAGTGACCCTACCCTACAGCTCTGGGAGTAAGCTGACAGCCCCATAAAGTATTGCCAGTTCTTTGTGTCCCAGTCTACACATCCTAGATGCCTTGGTAAGTTCACCAGCGGGCGAATGACATAATCTTGTCCATGTCCAGAAAAATTCCCTCGAGTCCTTCTTGTCAGGAAATGATAAAAAACCAAAACAAAACAGGTCTTTACTTCCTGCTCAGTTGCAGCTGGCAGAACAGAAGCTTGGGACTTTGCCAGTACCTGGGAGAGGCTGCCCGAAGCTGAGCCGGTAGGGAGAAAAGCCATCTTGCGTGAATGAGAACAGTCACCAGGTGTAATCTTTGATCTTGGAGAATCAGTCCTCCGCCCACTCACCTGTCTTTTGGCATCATGGGAAGATGAAATGATTCTCGTTTTCATTCAGTCTATTTCACATGGAGTTATATGTTACTGATTCTACTTACTGATAGATTTTCTATCAAGAGGGACATTTCAGCTTGATTTTAAACTTCCTTCTTTCTTCTTTAGCCTCAGCATTTTCAACACCATTTCCCCTGATTTACAATGTTGGAATGATGTTAGTTGCCTTGGGCACCAAGTGAGCCGAGAGACCCTATAATCCGTGAACTCTTATTGTAACAAGGGAGATACAAAAGTAAGGCGGAAGATACCCTGATAAGCTGCGGGAGATGCACTCAAGGCATTTGGAGACAAGCAGTGGCTAACACAGCTTTCTCTGTGGCTTTGTGAACACTGTCAGGCATTCTTTCATGGAGGACATGTTCACTTCTGACAATTTTTTTTTAAAGAGGGAATGGAAATAACCCTGAGAGAAGAGAAACCTCCTTCAGGGAGAGGATAGAGCAAACAAAGGCTTGTTTGGAAGATATACACAAGTAATAGAGGCAGTAAATGATGATCACAATATGATTTGTTGTTTGTTTTTGCTCTTTTGGGGGGGGGCGGCCACCTACCTCCCAAATAAATCACACATGGAGGCTTATTCTTACTGATAAATGTCCAGCCTTAGCTTGGCTTGTTTCTAGCCAGTTTTCCTTAACTTTGAATTATTCCTTCTATCTTTTGCCTCTGGATGTTTACCTTTTCTTACTTCTGTAATCTTATTTTAATTCTTACTCTGTAGCTGGCTGTGTGGCTGGGTGGCTGGCCCCTGAGGTCCTCCTCCTTCTCTCTCTCCTAGATCTCTCCTCTCCTGGATTTCTCCTTCTACTAATTCTTTCTGCCTGCCAGCCCCGTCCATTCTTTTTCTTGCCTTGCTATTGGCTGTTCAGCTCTTTATTAGATCATCAAGTGTTCTAGACAGGCACAGTAACACAGCTTCACAGAGTTAAGCAAATGCAACATGAACAAAGGTAGCACACCTTAAAATAATATTACCCAACAATGG